GCTATAGACCATGAAAGATCATGTCAGTTTGTTAGTGTCTGAGCGCTTAATCAGCTGCCTGCACTATATGATTCCCGGGAAGCTGAGAATATTTCTGAGTGTTCTATGGTCTGCTAGGGTAATAACACAGTGTGTAAGGTGCATAGAGCTTGCTGCTGAGAAGGGGTATGCACTATGCAAATGCTATTTTATATTATTATTATCATTATTATTATTAAAATTATTATTATTATCATAATTACTCTATTGAAACTTAGATGGGGGCTCTCATGGTCTAGAGGTTAAGGTGTTCGCCTCTAATATAAAGGTCCCGGGTTCGAATGCGTGTAGTGACGGAAAAAAAATTCTCTAAAATGCTTCTCCTTTAACCTTATTTCCTGTTCTCTAGCAATGTTTTGTCGTCTGCTTTCGTCTCCGCTTTCTGCCCCCACCCCCTCACCTCCTTTGCCCCCTCCTCTGGGCTCCAGACTCTTTCTGCAGTCTTTCTAGTGCTACTCCTTGGCTCCTTCTTACTGCTGTCTTTCAGCCACACCCCTGCTCTTCTGGTAGGAAAGATTTACATCTCGTCTTCTCGGACAAGGGCGGTCCCGAGTGCAAGTTGCGCAAGTTAAAAATCTCTTGGTGGTCTAAAATCGATTAGATTCGGCCGCCACCCGGGTAAAATTCAAAATTTCCTACCTACTGAAAATCTTTAATGTGTCCCTCGCGCTCACATTACCTCATGCAGTTGCGAGCGTCGTAAAACACTTACCCCCCCCCCAAAAAAAGAAGAAAAAAAGAAAGAAACTTAGGTAACAAACTATAAAGAAGCTTCCTGTATTTATTTGTCAAAACTTGTTTCCTAAAAATGCCTAACAGCATAAGAAATAAGCAACTATAGGAGCAAACAAATCAACAGAAAATAGATAAAGAATATAACTTTTTTTAAAAAGGAAATGGATTGAGAAAACCGAATACGCAAATTACCAACCAAGCTTTGAGATGGGTTCCTCAAGGATAAAGAAAGAAAGGAAGGCCTAAAATCATTTGGAGAAGGGACTTAGATTCCCACCTTAAACAGAAGGGCTACAGCTGGATAGGGGTGAAGACAATATAACAACCTTTGGTTTTTGACAGCATGCCAATCACTTAATGTGTGCCCTAAAGGACTTCGTCTTAAACTGTCAAGTCCTTTCACCGACCCATCCTTCCACACGGTCTGGCACTCCACCCTTCTTCAGTGCTCCCGTCAGTTGTTGGAGCTACTTATTAATCACTACCACCAGGCAATCCCCAAGCTTCACCGCCAGATTGACCCTTTTCTAGAGTTCAAACCGTTGGATAGAGACGCAGTCAGGAATCTCAGCACACTTTCTTCCAAACTTCACGCCACTCACATACAAAAACTTAATAATTTAACTACAAGGAACATGACAACACTACAGAAACACCCCGTTCGTCCCTCTCGATACACAGTCTCCCCGCTGGACACTCTGATAGACCTCACCAACACAACATAACATCCCTCACCGACGGCAAACGACACATCCAAGACGTTCCCCTCCACCTCACCCGAAGACTCCTGCAGTACACCTATCTCCAGCAATACGGCAGTGTCCACCACAATGCCTCCAAACTTGGATCCCCCCCGCAGTCCTCTGTCAACATAGATCACCTTCTCCAGATCCACCCGTACATAGCGACTCACACCCCCCACCTGTGTCCCTCGGTGTGCTTCAACCACCTATATGCCCTGACACCCGCCCCACCTCTCTGGATCTCAGTGCCAGTCGCCGACAACAAGTCTCCCACACTCCCGTGGTTCCTGAAGCCTGCAATGTGGACCCCTTGATGCGTACACCATGTGCTCTTTTAACCATTTCTCGTGTCACACACAATCTCATAACCAACCATCCCCATCCTACCACGCCTCCACCTCCACAACCTCCTTTCTACTCTGCCTGGCACCCCTCAATCTGTTTGCCCCTCCCCCCTTTCTCCCACAACCGTACTCCCCTCTCAGCGCCTACCCACTCCGTCCCGTCCCCTTTACCTCACCCTACAACTACAGACAATGTCGTCAATCTCTCCTCTCTCCCCCTCACCTCGGCCCCTGTTAGTGTCCTATCGAAGGGCAGCGGCTTCTGCCCCACTAAAAAAATAAAAATAAAAATAAAAAATAAAAATTTACGACGTAACCACCCAAGCCTCAGCTCAATTTCTCCCCCTCTACACCTACCCACCCCTCCCTCTCAACTGAGACCAACATACTCCCTCCTCCCTCAATTCTTCACCCACCATACACCTCAACTCTTTATCTGACCGCACCTTTTAAAATCATGGCACTACAGTTTCCCCC